TTTAATAGATTTTTTACAGAGAGGGAGAGGGGTAGACAGAAGCATCAATGAGAGAGACATGGATCAGCTGCCTCCTGCACACCCCTTACTGGGGATGTGCCTGCAACCAAGGTACATGCCCTTGACTGGAATCGAACCTGGGACCTTTCAGTCCGCAGGCCGATGCTCTATCCACTGAGCCAAACCAGTTTCGGCTGGGGCCACACTTCTTACCCTCGTTGAGGTTAGGCATGCCATGTGACTTGCGTTGACCAATGAAATGTGAGCAGAGGTAACATGTGTTACCTTCAGGGCAAGGCTCTAGGAGCTGGGGTGGGAGGGAGGAGGAAGGGTCGCTGGGCCCTCCTTTTCCAGTCTATGTGATTACGTCACCATAGAGCCTCCATCACCCCGGTGATGGAAGTGACTAGGCACATAATAGGTGCTTAGTAAGGGACCACCATGGACAGTACTCTCCAGCCAACAAAAGGACTCACAGTGCAAGAGAGAAAGAAATCCCTGAGACATGGGCTGTTTGTCACTGTAGTGGAACTTGGCCTCTCTAGGCTCATACAGAGCATCTGGGGCCTTTTCCTCCTCAAAACTGTCAAGACATGGATTCTGCACTTGAGTTCTTCCCAGGAAGGTCCTCAAAGAACATTTTGCTGATAGTGCTCAGCTCCTCCCATTCCTCTCCTGAGGAAGAGGGTCCTCCCCAAGCAGAATCGCCTCCTCCATCTCCCCTTTCTTCCCTCCAGCCCTTAAGGATGAGGGGATGGACAAGGACATAACATATAAGGCGCAGGAACTCACTTTAGGCCCATAATGACGGCGGCCGCTTGCAATGAGGCTGACAGCTTTTAGTCGGGTTCTGGATTTATGGCCCCAGGTGAGGAGCCATTCCATTGAAGGCTCCCATCCCACAAGAATGGTTTATGGCTGGGAGTTGGCCAAAGATAGCAGCAGTGGCAGCTTCCTCCCAGTCCTTTCCAGAGATGGTCTCTAACACCCTCTCTGAGAATCTCTTAGAATGCTAAGCTGCTGCTCTGGATCAGATCGGGAAGGGGAAGCCAAAAGCAAGAAGCCCCAGAGAGTCTGGGGTCACCAGCTCTCACACTTCACAACTGAGGCTCTTTAAGCCAAATACCAGCATTCAAAATTCTGCCTTGTAACGGGATTCTCACTACCTGCGCTCCTGAACCGGTCAGCTTACTTACCCATGTTGGTGCTCCATACCTTCTTACAACCCCTCCTTACTAAGCACCTACTATGTGCCTAGTCACTTCCATTTGTCCTTCCCAGTCCTTAGGAGAGTGGATTATTGATTTAAACACTTAAAAATATTTATTCCAGGCATATTATGTGCTTGGTTACAATGGCAAAGTACCTCCTTACTGAGCACCTATATCAGCAATTTTCAACTGGTTTGCCGCAAGAATTTTACAAACATGCAATACCTGACTATTTAGTCAAGGGCACTGACCTCTTTTCCCTTAGATTGTCAAATTAAAAAAAAAAAAAGACAACAGCCAGCACCACAATAGCCATCTAGCATGAATGAACCAATAGTATACCTTTTTTTTTTCATCAGCTCAGCAAAAAATATATTTTTGGTGTGCCGCAGAATTTTAGTAATTAGTTCATATGTGACATGAGACGAAAAAGGTTGAAAATCGCTGACCTATGTGTACCCAACCATGTGTTTCCATTTGAAGGTTGAATCCTTATGAAGATTTGATTGTTGATTCAGCCAGTTGACAAATACAGAGTGTCCCTGTATACACACTTTAACAGCTGACAGCTCAATTTTGAAAACGAACTGTATTTTTTTTTAAAATTTTTAAATATTTTATTGATTTCAGAGAGGAAGGGAGAGGGAGAGGGAGAGGGAGAGAGAAACAACACTGATTAGCTGCCTCCTGCACATCCCCCCCTAGGGGTTGAGCCCACAACACCAGCATGTGCCCCAATTGATCGGGAATCAAACCATGACCTCCAGGATCACAGGTCGACACTCAACACTGAGTCATGCAGGCCCAGGGGTGAGGGTGGAGAATGAAATGTATTTTAATAACCACTGCCTTTATAATTATTCAAAGTATATGTGTATACATTTTGTGGGACATTCTATATTTATTGCATGCCTACTATGCATCAAGCCTTAGGGTTCAGTAGTGAGCAAAACATTGATATCCACTTGGGTCCTATGGTTTAATGGGGAGTCTGACTCTCCTTGACAATGGGGATACTGGAACTTAAATAGATCAAATAATTTCCCTCAAGGTCATTCTGCTAATAAATTTCAGTGCCAGAATTCAGACCCATGTGTCTGACTTGGAGTCCTGTCTCTAACTGAGAATCTACCCCAGGCACTGGGCTGGGGCTTTCAAGTATACACGTGGTTGACACAGGGGAAGCACTCAATGATTTTGTTAATTAAACAAGATAGATGGAAGGATGGATGGAGACATGGATGGATGGAAGGATGAATAAATAGAGGATAGATGAAGAAGTGGTTAGATGGTGGATAATGACTGAATGGAGGGATACGTGAATACATGGATAGAGAAACAGACAGATGGAAAGAGAAATGGAGAGACAAATTATGGCTAATAGCTGGAGAGGTGGATGAAGAGATGAATGGAGGAATGAAAAGATAAATGGATGAGTGGATGGATGGAGAGATGGATAGAAGAATAGAGATGGGTGAATGGATTAAAGATGGATGAATGGATGGGAAGCTGGACAGTAGATCTGTTAACCATGACAATTCTATGAGGTAAGAATCACCATGCCCATTTTATAGATGAATAAACTACACAGAGGTGAAGTCACTGGCCCAGAATCAAGAGCAGGTCATAGAGCAAGTTTGGAGAAAGTCTGGATCCCACCCAGGTCTATGAGACACTCCCAAGACCCTTCTAGAATACCTGCATGTCAGAGTTCCCTCCCAGGTCCCGGCTCTCACCCCACAGAGTGAGAGCTTAGTGAGACTCGGAGATGGGGTGGGGATCAGGGTGGGAGAACTCTTAGCTTCAGCAGGCAATTTCATGGAAGCATTGATCAAGGCGCTATGAACTATAGATGGGCCAGAATGGAGACCAGGTCTGTTTGAGTGTGCGTGCGCGCGCGCACACACACACACACACACACACACTAATATTTACAGAAAACACGTGGTACACAAAGGAATCCACCCACACACATATAATACAAGGTAGGCATAGATACACACTTGCACATCTATGCACACTCTTCTGAAGACATACATGTCTACACTTAAAATGCACATAAAACACACATATGCATATGTACATACTTGTACAGACACATACGCACACACAAAATCATAACTCAGAGAGACCCACTCTTACACACTTATGCACACGTTCCTCAGACATAGTGTATGCTCTCATTGACACACCACACACTGCACATAATCCATGCACACATTTACAGACACCCGCACGCCTAAGATGGTGGGTGAGAGGAATCTGGCTTCTGATTTCAATGAGACAACACCATCTTTCCTGCCCCTCAGAAGGTAGCAACAAGAAGGCTGTCTCCTGTACACAAACTCACATGTGCACATGCAGTCACATAACACATGCAAATCCACAGTCGGGGACATACAGCCGCAGACACACACTTAGGTGCATCTGCACCGAGACACACTCACTCAGGGACACACTCACACTCGTCCTGGGCTGCCTCCTTACCCACGAAGACACACTTAGACCCCCACGCTGGCCAAGCACGTGACCTTTCTCGCAGCCCCCTCTCACACACACCCTCACAGATACACGGAAGCTCGCGCAGAGATGGGCACACCAGGGCGTACTGTGAGGCGCACAGAAAGACACTGGCTCACACGCCGGCTTCAAGTCTGAGAATTTGGACTGAAAGCCCTCACCTGTGCCAAACCCAGGGCCATTTCTCCCCAGGGGCTGAGCCAGGCCTGGGCACGGTGCATGGCACCCCCTCTCCGCTTGCCTGAAACTCTTTGGAGCAAAGACCTCTTTTCTTCCATGGGAGGGATGGGAAGAAGCAGCCTGGCAGCCATTGGAAGCTGGGCCGGGTTGCTGGGTTGCTGGCGAAGTTGGGGGGAAATCGAGCAGGAGAGGGAGCCCAAGCATCCCAGCTCCATGCAAGGGGAGGAGTCCCCGGAACAGACTGAAGAGGGGAAGGGGTGGGAGGGACCTATCTGGAGGAGGCTGAGGGAAGTTTTCCACAGAGGATACCTCGCCGCCACCCTCTCCTCAGGACCACCATTATAAACCCCCTCCCTCCCCTCCGGCTCTGTGGCAGGAAAAGCTGGAGGATGAAGGTGATAGAGGAGAGGATGGCATGGGGGAGGGGGCAGTCCTGGAGCTTCTGGGGGCAGCCCCCGCCCCCGCCCAGGCTGAGACCCTTCTGGGAGGGAGAGTTATGGGAATAAATATGCAGCACGTGGTAAGGCAGGTAACGAGGAGGGAGATGCTGGGGAGGAGAGGGGAGGATGTCGGAAGAGACACACACAAAAAAGATACAAAGTCAGAGACAGCGCAACAGAGACAGGGGAGAGACAGAAACAGAGAAGCAAACCACAGGCAAAGGAATAGACAGGCAGAGAGGCACATATAGAGACAGACGACAGACAGTCAGACAGACAGACAGACAGACGCGGTACTATCCAGAGACCCCGACGCGAACAGGGAGAGATCCTGAAGGTGGAGGCACTCGGAGACCCCGAGGCTGCCCGGTTCAGAGGCGGTGCCCCCCACCCGCACCTCCGCTCCGCCGCCTCCACCCCGGAGCCTCGCACTCCGTTGCCCCTCGGACGCTGCTCACCACAGATCACAAGAAAATCGCAGGAACAGGAGTGAGGGTCCCGGGCCCGCCGCCGCCTCTGCGCCCGGCCCCCAGCCCCAGGAGGGCGCCCCCGGGCCGGGGAAACCGGGGGGCCGGGGGTCCCCGGGGGCTGCGGCGGCGGCCCGGGCACCACGCCCCCCGGGAGCGCCCCCCGCGCGGCAGCCACTCACGATTTTCTCGGAGGCGCCGGCGCGGGACACGGTGCCGTTGAGCCCCACGAGGGAGGGCAGCGTCTGCGACATCCAGTTGGTGACCATGGCCATGGTGCTCAGCACCGCGCCGATCTTGAGCAGCGGCACCGACATCGCGCCCCTGCCTCATGCCCCGCGGCCGCCCGCCCGCCGCTCCGGCCCTCGCCGCCCAGCCCCGCCGCCCGGGGTGGGGGTGGGAGGGCGCCAGCTGGGGTCTGGGGTCTGGGGTCCGGGCCGCCGGCGGGGGCGCAGGGACGCGGGGCTGCGGCTCGGCGCGCCGGGCGGGCGGACTCCGCTTATAAGGCGCCGACTCGGCCCCCGCCCCCTCCCTCCCGCGCCTCCCTCCGCGCCGGGCACTTCCAGCCGCCGTGACGTCACGGCCCAGGCCCGGAGCCCGGCGGGGGGCGGGGGGCGCCCCGACTGCCCGCCCCCCGCCCCAGGCTGGCCGCCCCAGCCCGGGCCCGCCCCTCCCGGGCAGGTGCCCCCTCCGCGCCCCTGCCCTCCCGCCGCGCCCCCCAGCCCGGGCACCCCCAGCCCCGCCCGGCGGGGCCGCCCCCTCCCCACCGCCGGCCGGCGGGGTTCCCCATCCCTGGGGCGACCACCCCACTGTGTCCTAACCGGAGTCCCCGAGTCCCCGCTCCTCCCCGGTTAGGACAGCAGCCCGGCTCTCCAAAGCCCGGGACACAGGTATGCGAGTCTGGGGGGCAGGATGGGGCGCCCCCATGCGTCCCGCAGCCCAGAGCCTCCTCTTCCTGGGGAAGGAACGGGCTTTCCTGGGACCCGGGCCACGCGGGGTCGTTTCGGAACCAGGGAAGCCCAGAGCGGCGGGGCCGGAGCCGGCAGACGCGGCGAGTCGGATAACGGTGCGGGAATGGGGGTCACTGGGGCAGCGGAGGATTCCCCGGGGCCCTGGGGGCGGTGATGGCCGGGCACCGCGGGGACCGGCAGCCTTTGGCAGACAAGTCCCCGGCGGCTCTCCAGGCACCACCTGAACTTGGCGCGGGGGCGGGACCTGACGCCTGGGACCCTCCCCCGGTCCCGGGGACTCCGGGGCGCACCCCTGCTTGGGGGAACCGGCCTGCAGAGCCCCCGCACCTGCCGCCCACGCACCAGCCGCCGGCGGGGGCGGCGAGGCTGCCGGGAGCAACGCCCGGCGAGGTTCATTTCCTCCGTTTTCCCTGCGCTCACGCCCCCTCCTGGCGTCCCCGCATCACCTCCCGCCGCCGCCGCCCTCGGTCCCGGCCGCCGCCGTCTGGAGGCGGCGATGACTCAGGCTTTTGCAAGGTCTCGCCTGGGGAGCAGCCCTGAGCATGGGGGTGCGTGCCTGGCGCGAGCCTTCCTCTCTGGGCTTAGCAACATGGACAGGCAGGTTCTGCCCCCGTGTGACTTCCGACAGGGACTTCCCTCTGCCTCAGTGTCCTCGTCTGCCAAGTGGGTGGCTGTCAGGGCCGCGGGCAGAATGTGTGTCAAGGGCCCCAGGGTCCTGAGAATCAGCGCAAGGCATTGAGCATCCGCGTCCCAGGCCCTGCGGACCACCAACAAACAATACGCCTGCCTTCGTGTCGCTGAACACTCTGTGGGGTGAATCAGTCAAGAAATAAGAAAACAGAAGTAAAATAAGGCATGGGGATTCGGGTGGGGCAGATAAATACGTAAATTCGGAGGGTGGTTTGGGGAAAGGGACGTTTGAGCAGAGATCTGAGGACAGTAGGGAGGGATCCATGTGGATATCTGAGGGAAGAGTTCCAAGCAGTGGGAACAGCAAGTGCAAAGGCCCTGGGCAGGAGCATTAAGTGTTCAAGGTCCAGGGAGCAGAGTGAGCTGGGGAGGAGGGATGGGGAATGGTGCTTGTAAAGCATTTTGCAGAGTGTCTGGGACATAGTGTTTCATATATAGTAACCGCTGATATATATATATAAAAATTGATTTCAGAGAGGAAGGGAGAGGGAGAAATAGAAACATCAATGATGAGAGAGAAACATTGATCGGCTGTCTCCTGCGTGCCCCATAATGGGGATGGAGCCCATAACCCAGGCCTATGTTCCTATTGGGAATGGAACTGTGACCTCCTGGTTCATAGGTTGACGCTCGACCATTGAGCCACGCGGGCCTGGCCACTGTTCTTATTATTATTTGCAACTGATACTGAGCTTTAAAAAATGAGATGTGTCCTTGCGTACTTGTGCTACAGCTTGCATTTATGAGGGCTGAACACTGCACATGTGCTTGCTGAGCAGTCGTTGCAACCTCCCATGCAAAGTACAGTGACTTCCCTATTTACAGGTGAGGAAACGAGGCTCAGCGAGGAGAGGGGTGACCCAGCAGGTAAATGGGGTCCCGGGATTTGAACCCCGGTCTGATTTTAGTTGCCAAAACCACTGGGCTTCAAGCCTCCTGGCTGAGAGGATTTGGAAGCCAATGATAATCTCCCTCAGCATCGGTGCTGTAGGAAAGGGCCCTAGCTCTTTTCAGCCAAGCTTCTCTGTGGAGTGGACTTCACTCGCATCTGTCCTTGCTGTCTCTACTTCCTCCCACCTCCTCCATCCTTCCAAAACTCCTCTCCAAAGCGGCTGCTGACCTTCCAGTGTGCCAGTCCCACAGCCTCACACGAGCCCTCACTTAGTCACTCTCACAGAGTAGCCTTCATGGATCATTCCCTCCTTCTTCTTTTTTTAATCACCTGATCATCTCAATAGATGAGAGAATTATTGCTTTTTAAAAATATATTTTTTTAGCCCTAGGAGGTTTGGCTCAGTGGGTAGAGGATAGAGAGGCCTGCGGACTGAAGAGGGTCCCACGTTCGATTTCCAGTCAGGGCACATGCCCAGGTTTCGGGCATGCAGGAGGCAGCCTATCAATGAATCTCTCTTATCATGGATGTTTCTATCTCTTTATAAATATATTTTTATTAATTTCAGAGAGGAAGGGAGAGGAAGAGAGACATAGAAACACCCATGATAAGAAAGAAGCATTGATAGGCTGCCTCCTGCATGCCCCCTACTGGGGATCAAGCCCGAAACCCAGACATGTGCCCTGATGGGGAATCAAACCGTGACCTCCTGGTTCATAGGTCGATGCTCAACCACTGCACTACCCCAGCTGGGCCATTCCCTCCTTCTTGAAAGTCATTTGTCCCTTGATATCAGACACCTTGTCATTTCTAGTTCTGCCCCTACTTCTTCAGCTGCACTATCACTGTCTCCTGCCTTCTCCCTACATATTTATATTTTCCAAGGCTTTGTCATAGGTCCTCAGCCCCTTTCTGTACACTTAGCCTGGAGTCTAAGTGTGGCTCTTTGGCCCCTTGAGTTTTTAGCAAAGCTTAGGAGTACCCTAATTAAGTTAATAACAATGTACCTACCTATATAGTTTGAGTTTTAAAAGTTTGGCTTTCAAAAGAAATTTCAATCGTTGTACTGTTGATATTTGGCTCTGTTGACTAATGAGTTTGCTGACCACTGGCCTAGACCACCATGCCAGAGTTTGGGTTCCATCTGGCCTCAGGAGCTTAGCACTTGCTGTTTTTTTACCCAGAACACTATTACCACAGATACACATGGTTTGTTCATTTACTTCATTTATATCTCTGTTCTCTCATTGTATGGGTAAGATACATGCCCTACCCTTCTCCAGAAAACTACATTTCCCAGGTTCCCTTGCACACAGGCTTCCTGTTAAACTCACCCAATGGGAGGCAACGGAGGGAGATTGGAAAGTGGGGAAAAATGAGCCAAGGTATTTCTCTCCTTCAGCTTGGGTTGGGGGTGGGATATTCTGACCGGTTGAAGAACTCCCACACAGAGCCCCTTTCTCATCACATCACCCTTTGTCATGTCCCTCTAATGGCCTTGTCCTATGGCTTGTTGCTGGATTCTCTGATCATGCCATCAGTTTGGCTTCTCAACCCTTCCATCTCGCACTCAACCAATTCCCTGTATTAAATTCCCTCTCTTCGAAACCCTAGCGGAGTTTGTTTCCCTGACTGGGCTCTGAGTAATATGGCCATTAAGGGCCTTCCCTGGCCACCTCATCCACACCACTCTCGGTCCTTTACCCTGCTCTATTTTTTTGAACAGCATGTGACATTCTATTCTTTATGGTCTGCCTGCTCCATTCGACTTGCCATTTCACAAGTCTGTATTTTTCACAGCTGCATCCCCAAAACTCGGGGCAGTAATTGGCCCAAGAAATTGCTGAGAGACTGATTAAATAAATCTACCTACAACTGGGGCCTCCCTGGGGCAACCCAGGTCTCCACCTGGAACCGAGACGCCTGCGCCCATCTGCTTCTCAGACAGCTCCACTTGTGCCTTTCACAGTGGGCCTAGAGCAGGCGGCCTCCGCCAGCACAGCCTCAATCAACAAGGCAGGTCTGCCCTGGCCGGCGCCTCCGTTGTTGGAGCATCTGCCTGTACGCCGGAAGGTTGCAGGTTTGATTTCCAGTCAGGGAGCATACCTAGGTTACGGGTTCAATCCCTGGTCCTGGTCCTGGCGTGTACTGGAGGCAGCTGATTGATGTTTCTCTCTCTCTCCTTCCCTCCCTCCCTCTCTTCTTTCCTCTCTCTCTAAAATCAGTAATAAAAATGTATCTTTGGGTGAGGGGGGGGGGGGAAAGGCAGTATCAAGTATTGGTGATGATGTGGCAAAACCAGAACCTATTGCAAGTGGCAGTATAAAATGTTGCAGCCACGTTGAGAACCAATTTAGCAGTTTCTTTAAAAGTTGGACAGAAACTTACCATAAGACCCAACAATTCCATTTACCCACGAGAAATCAAAGCATGTCTGTGGAAAGGCTTAAATGTGAATATTCATAGCAGCATTTTTCATAAGGAAGGACACCACCCAAATGCCCATCGACTGGTGAGTGGATAAAACTGGTCCACCCATATGGTGGAATGCCATTCAGCAACAAAAAGAAACAAACGACTGACACATTCTACAATATGGATAAGCCTCAAACTATTTGGCTAAGTGGAAGAACCAGACAGTCACTAATTTCAGGCAGTTTCATAATTTCAGGTGAGAGTGAGAATGGACTGAAATGGGCACGAGGGATTTTTTGGGGGTGGGGGGTAACAGACATGTCATAAAACTGGATGGAGGTGATGTTTGTATAACTCTATAAATTTACTAAAAGCCATTGAATTGCACACTCAAAAGGTAGATTTTATGGTATGTAAATTATACCTAAATTAGAGGCCTGGTGCAAGAAATTCGTGCACGGGGGTGGGGGTGTCCCTCAGCCCAGCCTGAATCCTCTCCAATCTGG